ATTTAACAATTGTTTAACAGTTTCAAAAGCTTTAACAGCTTCTGCGGGCAAATGGAATGAACGACTGTGTCCATGTAAGCAATCGGTTAATGGTTGTAAAGCTTTAGCACAGTTCGGGATAAAACGCCGGTAAAAATTAACAAGACCCAAAAATCGTCGTAATTTCTTAAAAGAATCTGGTAATGGATAATCTTTGATAGCTTGTACGTCGTCAGGGACTGGTCTGATCCCTTGGCTATCGATTAAATGACCGAGAAATTTCAGGGAGGTCTTACCAAATTCGCATTTGTCTAAGTTGATAGTCATTCCGTATTGGTTCAGCCTTTCAAACACTGTCTTCACATGTTTCAAATGCTCGGCTTCGTCTGCACTTGCAATTAGTAAGTCATCGATGTATGCGTAGACGAAAGGGAGACCACGGAGTACTTGGTCAATTAGGCGTTGGAATGTCTGAGCGGCGTTCATAAGTCCGAATGGCATGCGTACGAATTCATATAAGCCAAATGGTGTGGTAATGGCGGTTTTCGGAACGTCATCCGGGTGGATAGGGATATGATGATACGCTCGGACAAGATCGATTTTAGAGAAAACCTTAACATCTGGTAAGTTGCTAGCGAAATCATGAATATGTGCTATTGGGTATCTATCAGGTACCGTTTGCTTGTTTAAAGCTCGATAATCACCACACGGCCGTATTTCACCAGAAGACTTTTTGGGTACCATGTGAAGTGGTGAAGACCAAGAGCTGTTGGACGGTCGAATAATACCAAGCTCTAGCATTTTATCGAACTCTGTTTTGGCAATTTTAAGTCGATATGGGTCAAGGCGTCGTGGACGTGCAAAAACTGGCGGTCCAGTGGTTTTAATATGATGAACCACATGATGCTTCGGTTCTGTTCCTCGAAAAGAAGGTTTTAAAAGGTCAGGAAACTGATTTACCAAATTGGTATATGGAGATGCTGGTGTGCGTGTGACCATCAAGTTCAGTGATGATGCACGGCTAATCGTACCAGCAATGTACGTTTTATTGAGCGAATCTATTAGCTTGGGGCTTATCGGATCAACTAACAGTTTGTGCTGCTGCAGAAAATCAATACCGAGGATTGGGGATGGGACGTCTGCAATGATGAAAGACCAAGTGTAGGTATTCTTTAAACCAAAATCTAAAGTCATTCGTTTAGTTCCATATGTAACAATACTGGACTGATTAACAGCTTGGAGCGTAACTGCTGGGTCAGGATGTTGACGTTCCTGTGTAGACGGGGGGAGAACACTCACCTCTGCTCCTGTGTCAACTAAGAATGTAGTACCGGTATTTTTATCTGTTACATAAAACAAACGACTGTTAGATCGTAGATTGCCAACAGTATTTTTTACACATGACGATATATCTTTTGGTTTAGTCTGAAAGTTGCAAGGTGAACGGCACCGTCGTGCTTTGCTTCCATAACTACGGTTATACCAGCAAATATTATCGCGATGTCGTGACGTGCTAGGGGATCGAGAAAGACGTCGACGAGACGAGCTTCTAGAACGGCTTGGTTGTGTGCGTGTGGTCAGGTTTGCTAACTGACTCAGTAAGGTGTCAACTTTGTGTTCTAGAGTCTGTATTCTATCGCGAGTGTCTGGTATTCTACTAGTGGAAGCGACAGATTGAGGTGTTGACCTCTCGTACATGCGATCCGCGATTTCGGTGAGCCTTTCTATGTCAATGTCGTCGCCTCCGAAAGCAAGAACCTGCTGGATGTTTGCGGGAAGTCTTCGTAGCCATATTTGGTAAAAGAGACGTTTATCGATTTCTCTTCCGGCAACTAGGCTTTGCATATGCCTCATGAGTTGCGATGGGGTTTTATCCCCTAACTCAACATTGCTTAACAGGCGATCGAGTGCTTGCCTATCAGAAAGCGAAGTGCATCGCAGTACCTCTTCCTTCAACTTGTCGTAAGGCGCTTCTGTGCTGGGTTGGACGATGTATTGCCGTACCTGCTCGGCGACTTCGTCTGGTAGTACTGTACTCAAAATGCAGAATTTAGCTGTCTGTGACGTGAGCTTATTGCTAGTCAAATAATGTTCCAGTCGAGCAAACCAAAGATGAGGGTCTCTGGGCTTAAAAACTGGTACAGCAAGAGAAATAGTACTAACAGATCCCAGCTCTAAGTTATCAGAGGTATTGGAAGACATGTTACAATTCGTAAAAAAATGGTTTAAGATTAGCAAAATAGCAAAATTTGTGCGCAATAAGAATACGGCAAACAGAAAAATGCAATGCAGGTGCTTACCACAAATTACTGCAGGTTGTGCTATGAGCAAACACAAAAATGAGTTCGAATTGCTTAATAAATATATAGATCCGCGTGAGTTCGAATTGTTTAATAAATATATAGATCCGCGAAAGTTAGAGCTTTAATAATCCAGCAAGTGTACGACGCGTCGAGGTCAAAAAGTCGTCGTCGTCGGAGTCAGCAATTTGTCGTCGGGGCTCACCAATTTGTTGCGTGTTCTGTTTGACTAAATGAGCGTACACGTATTTCCTAGTACTTCTTCACGTTCATCAATGTGCTCAGACGTTGTGGCTACTCGACGCCCACAACGTAAAATCAGAAGGCACTTGTGAAGAGTGTAATCGTGTATTATAGCAGTAGTCAAATTTCGAAAATTGTATCAAGGTAACGTTCAACAGTAAATTGACAAATGTTTACGAAGTACATATAAAATCGGTATGTGTAAACATATAATATGAGTATGCAAATTAGATTAAAATGTATGTTTATAGTTGGTATAGGGGTACTACACAGTCTTCCGCATAATCCAGTCCACCGCAATTAAGAATATCATCATGCGTGATAATAATAATAATATATTCTCATTTTGTACATGAGGGACGCCAGTTTACAGGCATCATCAATATGATAAATTACATAAACGATTAGTAAGCATATTAATTAATAACAATTTAATAAAATACATATTTTTCCTACCTATGTAGGACACGCCAATTGTACAGGCAGGGATAAGTATTGTTTAAATTACATAAATTTGGCTTATGGTTACATTATATGGTTGCAGCTGTTTTGTCTTTGGTTTGTGGGAGCAATATGATAACTAGTCATTCAATGGAGTACATCAAGAAATATAGAAATATTGTCTTCGCATTAACAGAAAACCCAAGTATGCTTTGGATGGATTACAAATACTTGGGAAAAAAATAAAGCTTGAAGTAATTCCCCCATATAAGTTTGGTGTGTACGGCATCGAGTCTTATTCTTGATTTATATCCAAATTTGGTAATAATTTAAAATAAGTGATACACTTGAATAGTTTTGTCAGCATTTTCATCGTAACATCACAAGTGAACTGTACACACTGTAGACTAATAATAGGCAGACAGCGTTTTCTCACTGAAGTCTGCACCAGCCTCAAACGCCTTGGTGAGTTTCCCGTAGTAGATGACGCGAAACGCGGCATTGTCGTATGGCCAACTTTTGAGTGAGGTTGATAAAACCCAGCCATCGCACGCAATAGTGTTGAAGTATTTCGCAAAATTACTTCTTGGTCAACGCCGTCAAAGTCACTGACGCTGAGGCTCAAGTGTGACTGCTATTATACGCTTTGTTCTGTGATGACGATGCGTAGAGTTACAAATTGATCAGCACACGATTTGCCTTTCCTGAATCCGGCTTGTTCTTCTCTGGTGGAGTTCTTCGTCCAGTGAATCTTTTATCCTCTCCACGGTGACGCGATTTAGTATTTTACTTGGCATGGACAAGAGCATCATTCAACGCCGGTTTCGCAGTGACGTGGGTCACCTCCCTTTGATAGTTTAAAAGGTAGTCTCTGTTTATAGGCAATATGTACCTTTCCATCCTTCTAATCTTTTTTGTGATAATGGTGTCAGCACATCTGCCACAGTCTCTGGTTCCATTTTCCGTGCTTCATAGAGAATTCCATCCGTTCCTGCTGCCTTCACAGGTTTCAGCAGCTTGACCGCACTCAAGATTTCCGTTTTTGTTGCAGGACTGGTGCCCATTGGTACTTCGGTGAATGCTGTTAGAGGTATTTCATGGTGAGTTGCAGGTGAGGGGTGATTCAGGAGTCCTTCGAGGCGATGGGCCGATTGTTTTATTTGTCTGTCCTCACTGATAACTAGGTTTCCTTGACCATCTTTTGTGGGTCTCGCTTGTGTTAATCTTTTTCCGGATAGAGAGCAGGTTATGTAGTACAATGATTTATGGCCTTTTCTACCTGCAGCCTGCATGTTCTACTTCAGTTGCCAATGTGTTGTAGAATTGTCTCTTGTCTTTCCTAGCATTCTTCTTTACTGCTTTATTCAGTGCAGTTTACATTTAACTCAGCTCCTGCTTCTGTTGTCCATCTTTGCATTGAGTCATCTTCCCCTTCATCATCCTTCTTTTCTTGATTAGCTTCCACGTATCTGTTGAGAGCCATTCCTTGTCCTTCTTCCTCTCTCTTCCTATATTTAACCCATATCACCCTCTTCTGTATTATAAAATTAATTTTTTCATCCGTTTCTTCCATTTTCTCCTAAGTGTATCATTGTTTATTATCTTTTCCAGTTTGTTTCTGAGTAGTATGAAGCATCGTCTGGTGAAGTGAGAACTGCCAATCACGAAAGTGACATTATGCCCGAACAAATCGTGCATTCCTCTAATAAAGGACTGACACACATTCCTTCACTTTATTATAGAGTTATAGCAATGTAAGGACAGATTTAGTGCTTTAGAATCCAGTAAAGTTATATAAACCTTTAGTTGTATCCAAAGCTTTTAAAAATAGAATTGTTACTGAAACCCTTAGTCTTTCCATGTCTGAATTCAGTTGGGTGAGCATTGAACTTGAGAAAAAGTTCTCTTTCACTCATTAAAGACCATTTAAAGTTTAGTTTGCTTTGCAAACAGAGTTTGTTTATATCTATCAAAGGAAATTCTAAGGTGAATGTTACTTATATAAACCTGTTTCAAACAGGTTTCATGTCACCGTCAGGTATGCATATTTTCGTGGATTTGTATTAGTTGTTTATTTGAATTATGTAATTATTAACAGCTAAAATATTATTATTAGACGTTTGCTTATATTATGTTCCTTTTACACAACAATACAGCGCATCACTTGAATATATGTTTTTCTAAGTTATTGAAATATTTTAGAATTTAATTCATTCTGTGCATGTTGGTGTATGCAACTTCAGCCCGTTTAGTGAAATTTTTATAGAACCATGTACTTGGACACTTTCATAAAGGAATATAAGCCAACTTTTTGACAATTATCATTAATTCACCTTCGATTCCAATGAACGGTTGGAATTTTACAGGGAAAGATGAAAAGTAGTTGTCCCCAACGTTACAGACGTGTAATACAAATAAAAAGATTTTGTATTATTATCAGATGAAGTTCCATGAATATTACCCATTCATTTGTAGACTTTGTTGAGAAAACTAGTCGCATGTTCTATTACACTATACATCATAAAAAAGTAACTAAGCACCAGTAAATTATAAAGTTAGCGATTTGATCGTTTTTTAGTGCTTTGACATAGTTACTTTCGCCGAAAAGATATAACTTTATGGAACACTGAAATCAAATGACTCAGGTGTGTTTTGGTGATATAAATGAAAGGGCTTGTTATTTTTAAAGGAACTTAGATTTTCATGAAGGAAATGGTGCTTTCCACTGCAATTATCAATTTTTCAATTCTTATTAAAAGTTATTTACCATCAGTGTGACAAACTTAAACTCGAATACAAGTTGGTGAGAATTAAATATCTTGCATACTTTTGCAGTATATTCAGTAAACACACAGACGATTGTAGACAGTTGTGATTTCACATTGCGTCTTTCGGATTATTTCAACTACTCATATTAAAGTCTCGATCAGCATGATGCGTGTGTGTACAGTTTTGTTATATGTAGTAAAGCCTAATATAAAGAAGTTTAAGAAAATATTTGATTCAGCCATCTGTCTTATATTGTTATAACAATGTACTTTGTGCCTCAGATTGAAAGGTTTCATCACATGTGAATGAGTACAGTATTTTTGACTTACTATCTAGTGGTTAAAGGAATGAAAATTCTTTAGTTCGTATTCTCATAAGTTCAGTTGTGATTTAGTCCTCACAACTATTTCCTCGCAAAGCAGCTCTCCACATGGAATGTCACGCGAAGTTGACACTTTCATAGCTTTACAAGCACTCGCTCTTGAAGTAAACAGTGCATGTCGTCATACAGTAGTCATATTATTTCCAATTTTCATGTTATTGCTTTGTTAAGAGTAGATCTTGTGAGGAAGAGTTTTTGAAACTTTCTATGACAGTCAATAGTTTTAAACGATAATGGAAACACAAACAGTGACATTTTAAGCTGCATCGTATCATCTTGTCAGTTCTTAGTGCCAACGTCAAACTTTGCTTATTGCATAAGTTTTGATTAAAGATTAGTCAGAACAGCATATTTTAAATGTCTATGGACTAAACCTAGTTCCATTGTATTTTCAATTACCTGTAAACTGTTCCTAAACTTTAGACGCCCTTGCATTTTATACATTGAACATTAGGAAGGACAGTATAAATCCATCAACTCCAGCAGCTTTCCATGTAGCAGGCATACCTTCTTAACTGTTTCCATATCAAGACATTATGCTTTGCTAGAATGTGTTGAACAAACATGGTATTCAGTATGTAGGGGGAAAACAGTGGCTGAAATAATCAGCTATTTCTGTATTGTAACTCTTTGGATAAAGTTAAACACGTCATGGAATCTAGTGACCCAAGACGACAAGAAGCATATTACATAATAAAGACTAGTAGTTATCACTCTGTAGCCTTCTTTTTATCAAAGGCATTAAAAAAATTAATGGGAGCTTTGGTCATGTAATTAATTGGTTGAAATTTTATTATCATTTATTTATGTGTCTTTGAGTTTTGAAATAATTTTTACATCTCTTTGTCATGCATGCTGTAGATGTGCCTTTTATCGAGTAGTCAATAATACCTTTTGTGTATGGAATACATAGATAACTATAATATATATATATCATTCGTTGGATTCCAAATGGAACATAAAGCTCCAAGCTTTCCAAGTTCCAGTGGCGATCATGTTGTTTTTATAGGGTGAGAATACTAGTCTGATACCCAACCCTGCCTATTCCACAGGATTACTACAGACTGATAAACTACATGAGGTTTCTGAGTACGTTAACCAGTAACCGAGGGCGGAACTCCAGCTGCATGGTTGGTGCACATATGCACGTATTATTTGAATATTATTATTCCTTCAAGTTTTGAGCAGTATACAGGGTTTCAAAAGTGAATCTTCATTTCATCTTGTTCTCCGAAGTCCCTTTAATCTGATTCCACCACGATTGTCTATCAGGCTTTCATTCTCACCTCATATGATCACCGTCATGTCACTAACGGACGCACGTTCAACTCGTGTTTCCAATTCATGTTCCACTGGAAAAGCCTGCTCAGCTTATGACTTAGTTTAACTGTCTCTTAAGAGTCTGTCCAATCCACTTCCATTTCCTGCGGGATGCTGGTTAGATAATAGCCTGTAGTTTAGACGAGTCTGCCTGGATAAGTTAAGAAGGTGACTTCCTCCAGATTTCTCCCTTTGACAGTGATTTTTATCTGTTGTTAACTGTCAGACGTCTCCATCACCTCTGTCTTCTCTGTGTTCACCTGAAGTCTTGTTCTTAACTGCCTGCCTGCTTCTTCCAACTTGTTGGTTTTTGCCTGTAGAACTTGGAGTTTGTATGGCATCAAACACTAGTTTAGTAAACGCATTTTACTCCTGAGAATAAGGGAAAGTTAGGCAGGTCAGGTTAGGCAACCTTAGCCTGGAAAATCAACATAATCACTACAGAAGTATCCGTTGTCCTTTACAGGGGTGTGCATATACATTTGATGAAAAATATTCTTTGACATTTCGTTTAATATTTGTTAAAATTTTTTATTTTTTGCTTTTAAATTCATTTAATTTTAGTGATTGAAAGACACGTACACACAAACACAAACACACACACGTACACACACAGAGATAGATAGATTGACAAATGTCAAATCAAGTATATAATGATTTCACTGTGGTACTCTACAGACGTCGATGGTTCGCACTGTTTATATTTTGTTTCTGTTCATTTTCGAACGCCTATCAATGGATCCATTTGAATATTATTTCTGATCGAGTGCTGTTTTTCTGGGGTGCTTCAATTCCTGGTAAGTTTCTCCTTTTTTTGCATTTTATCCATGTACATATATATATATTTATATGAGGGTTGGAATATTGTTACAAATCTATTTTTTGCTAAATTGGTCATTTATTTGTATTACACCATGGGTTCCTAGTGTATATATACGACTTCATTGGCACCTCACTAACGCAGTCAGCTCTTTGTCATTACTTTCAGCTGTCCCCAAGGTGGTTCAGTGGTAGAATGCCCGGAAACCATGCCTTCCGTGATCCAGAATTCGACTGCTGTCTGACTCACTCCCTTTTGCCTTTGTTAATCGATGAGAAAGCCTGGTGAAAAGGGAAGATTGCTGATTGACTGACTGACTGGTTTCAACGTAGAACTTTGCACAGAAGTACAGAAATTCGAATTATCACACATTCTTCTTGTAGCACACAAAGTAGAAGAAGAGAGATTCAAAAGAGAGAGTGAGATAATAAACAGAAGTGTGAGGTAAAAAGAATAGTAATACGGAAGAACAATAGACTCCTTTTGGTATGCTAAATTACGAAAAGTGAATACATCTGCGCCAGCCATTATTGAGAACGATTTTGAGCCAGTCACATCACCAATTATCTCCAGTTGTCCTTGGTTCCTACCATCCTGAGGACCCTAACCATACAGTCAAGAAGTGTACGCCTCGCTACGCGTCTGGCTGGCTGGCTTAAAATAACTGTCACGGATTTTATTGACTTATGAAGCCATGTTTTCGTTTGACCACCACCAGCTTACTCTTTCCCAACCTGATCCATCCTATGTCAGCTAACATTGACCGTTGTCGAGGAAGGCGATGGCTAGGAATGCATGCGTAACACATGCCCTAACCATCTCATTCGATACAGCCGCTTCACAACTTCTTCGATTGATTTCCCCTCACTACCTAGCACTCGACCGAAGCCTAAACTCAATATTGCTCACCTTATTATACCACCACTTAACACGGGAGATAGAACGCGGAAACCTATGATCAAAGACAGCTAGTCGGCCTTTGTATGTCTTCTACTTCCAATGGCCATGTGTCGCTCACAGCCATAAAGGAGGACAGAGCGAACTGCTGAGCAGTGCACACGCCCTTTGGCGTACAGCCAGCCGGATATCACGTTTGCGTGGGCTGGCATATACCAAATGAGCCCTCTGTATCGGTGCTGAGATTTCGTCAGTGATCAACCGGTTGGAGATGGCTGATGAAACTCCCCAAATTAGTGAAGTGTTCAACGTGGTCTACCACTTCATTCCATATTATTAAGCTAGGGCGAAAGGCTAGCAACCCCACTCCGTAAAAACTTCAAAACCCAATCTTACGGTCCCATGCTCCATTAGGAACGCGAAAGAACGGTAAAAAAGGAGAACAACTGTTCACAAACTTCCATTGCTTTTTCGCGTAACTCTCTGACCAGACAATGATCAATTACTTTATTCTTGATGCCTGAAATACTTCAATTTCAGTGGTTCTGTGGATATGTCGCTCCACTAGCAGCTGACGACGATTCTCACATTCGATTCCTATCCCATCTACCGCTAATGAGCTAAGCGCCGATTCGGCTAGAAAGTACTATTCTCCGATATATCTGTGTGTGTGTGTGTGGTGTTGTTGACAGTTCCTAACGATTCAACCTAAGTCAGGAATAGATTACATCATTATATGGTCACCATTTTGCAAAGTTAACCAACCAACAACAACACCAGCAGCAACATTCAGCGCCAATCACCATCAACGGGAGGGATTTGAAAGAGGTTACTTCATTCACTTATCTAGGCAGCATTGTCTCAACTACAGGAGGAACGGACGAGGATGTCAAATGGAGAATCGGGAAGGCGAGAAACACATTCATCAACCTGAAACCAATCTGGAAATCTTCGTCACAGCACCAACAACAAAATTCGGATTTTCAATAAAAACGTCAAGTCAGTCAGTTTTGCTATACGGATCAGAAACTTGGAGGGTCACAAAGAATATTTCCAACAGCCTGTTGCAGACCTTCATCAACAACAACTGTCTTCGCTGGCTCTATAGTGAAGATCAGATGGCCGGAAAGAATCACCAACAAGAAACTATGGGAACAAACAAAACAAGAACCAATCGCTCAACAAATATGCAGGAGAAAGTGGAGATGGATTGGACACTCGTTGAGGAGGCCACTGGGTGACATCACGCGTCAGGCCAGTGCTCGAGTGGAACCCGAAAGGGAAGCGGCGAGTGGGACGTCCAAGGGTGACATGGAGGAGATTGTGTGAAGAGGAGTTGAAACAGTATGGATTAACATGGATGCAAGTGAAAAGTACAGTAGAAGACAGAAGAACGTGTAGATGTGCAGTTGAAGCCATATGTTTCACTAGGAACCCAAGGGAACAATAATAACAATAATAATTTTGCAAAGTTATTAAAGTTATGGTTTTTTATTTGAAAAGTGCGACACTTTTGTTGCCACCGCTTGATAACATTCCGTGAGATGACCTTTTTGTGTTTTAAATTTCACACAACAAAAGGAATTTTTTCTTGAAAAAAAAACCGTACAATAAAATCTAATTCTTGCTTGCTTACTAATGAGAATAATGAAATTCCAAATTTGTTTTCTAAAGAAAAGAATATGTATATATTTTGTTCATTTGTTTTCAAATTAATTAATTAATTAACTGATTAATTAGTTTTGCAACCGTGTGCTTCTTAGTACTTGCCTGAGAAAATTTTTTTTAAGCAGAATTTACCTCTATTCTAATTCTCAGATGATTCGCTTTTTAATCAATTCAACAGTGTGTGTACATGTGATGATAGGCTGTCAGTCGGCAATGGTTCTAATGACAGAATAGTTGCCAACCACTTCAGTGCATTCATTAACCTCGCTTAGATGATAGTAAGACCGGTGAAGGGGGAAGGTTAAGACTGTCGTCACTGGCAACACAACTGCTACTGAAACTTAAGACCTCAAACCTTGAGGCTTTATGCTCCCATTTGCAATGTGAAAGTAGTCTCAGAAACTGATCATGAATTGACTTCTCTCACAGAATCACTAAAAAAAACTATCAAAGAGTACTGGAGGGAAGTTTCTTTCCTGTTTGGGACTCTTCAGTAGCAGTACGTACTCATGATTTCACCCACACGAGATCAAATCAAACACCGTCAGTTTATTAGGCAGAAACGTCGACTGCAGAATTTCATGATGAGTTGACATTGGTTAGAGAACCATTGCATCAGTGGCTTAGTGGTAAAATGCTTGTCAACCACGCATGTGGTCCGGGGCTTGATTTCCGGCTGACACACGCCTTTACCTCGCCTAGCCGGTATTAAGATCAGTGAAGAAAGAAGGTTGGGCATAAGGCTAGCAACCCCACACACACCCTGTAAAAATATTTAAAAAATGACTGCTACCGAGGTTTCAAAGCTCTAGCTTGTTGAAGCCCTATGTTACACTGGGAACGTAAAGGAATAAAAAAGAAGGAGAACCAATGGAAAACCTTAGAGTACTGGACAACTATTTCGTCCTAGTTTGAGGCTCCACTTCAGCAGTACGCAGCCACTGGGGTTCGAACCAAAGTAGGATGAAATGGCTGTCTGGTACTCTCAGGTTTTCCAGTGGGTATTAAGCCTGGTAGTCACACAAATACCTAATTGAACAAAAATGTCAAAGATTCGGTGAATAATGAAAGAATAGTGAGTACGGCGAACAGTAAGGAAAAAATGAGTGAATTTCGGTTATACGACATAATTTTTTATCATTTTGATCATTCACCATTTAACACGGATTCGCCCATTTTATCCTCAAAGATAATCTCATCATCGGTTACCAACTTGCTTCGTCCTCTTCATCTAATTCTAAGTATAGTAATTAAAATTGACTGAAAAAGACCTAGCTAGGTAACCAGTGGGATTGACGATAAACCTATAGGGATGTATCACACTCATTAACGATGACAACTGGACATTACTGGTAATGAAAATGATGACCTGGTTAGCAGAAGCATCAATTATCCTTTGAGTTTAGTAGGGGTAATCTGCTTCTAGTCCTACTATGATATAGATTCTCGCCTCAATCCTATTTCATTCATATATCGAAACTAATGTTAGATGGTTAGAGGCAGTCGGCAGGAAGCCTTGCATGAACACGTAGGTCCCGTGCTTGTTGGCCGCCATTCGTCAGTGAGGCGTATTAGCTAGTCTTGAAGTAATTCATGTCCCTTCTGAGACTGGAAGTTGGCCTACCAATTAGAAACGTTACCACTTAGCTATTACAGCTTGCGACTGACCTCTTGTAGGACTGTATTAGTAGACACTAGGTAGAATGTCTTACTACAGCACTGTGTGACTAGGTTTCGAATCTTAGAAGGGATATGAGTCCCCTCAAAAATGTGTAGTAAGTCCTGCTGACGGGCTTTAGCCAGCAAGCTCGAAACCTAAGTCTTGAAGGCTGGCTGGATTCAACATAGAACTTGGCACCGAAGTGCAGCAGTTCAAGTTGCCACGTTCCAAATAGCACACAAAAGTAGACAAGAAGATGAGTGAGGAGAATCAGTAGAGTTTTGACAAGTATAACAGTGAAACAGAATGAGTAATGGTAGAAAGGAATATGAAAGATTACAGAGACTGAACACATCTGCGTAAGCCATTGACAACGATTTTGAGCCATGTCACCTATTGTCTCAAGCCATTGCTTCTTAGAGTCCAAAGGGCCAAAACCCGGAAGTCTGCATCTCCCTACCTGACTCAGTTTAACTGTCAAGGATTTCATGGGTTGATGAGGCCATGTTTTTGTTTGGCCACCACTTACTCTTTTCCAACCTGCACCTGTATCAGCTAGTAATACCCATCGGGGGAGGCGACGGATAGGCATGCGCAGCACGTGACCTAGCCATCTCAATCTATGTAACTTTATAGCCTCTTCGATTGATTTTCCCTCTTTTCCCAACACTGTACGCCTAAAGTCAACATTACTTGCCTAATTATACCACCTAACGTGAGAAAGAGATCGTAGAAATCTATGATCAAAAACA